GTATGTTCGCCAATTTATCTTCTGAAATTTTCCATGGGAATTTTCGCAAATATCCTTTAATTTCAACGATTGAACGGAGTTTTTAAACAACCAGTGCATTTTCATTCCGTGAATTATAAAGTACTCAGGGCTTCTCGCCAGATTTCTGTGATTACGTGTATCTGGACCTCAAAAAAGTCAACAACTTCAGTCGACTGACATAATGTAATCAGCACGGTGTTCTAGCTAAAACGCTTGTAGGTCTGCGTCCAGTGTGCTGCCGGGCATATTTCCTGATCGTAAGCTTCTCGTTCCACAAATATGTCGGATACATATTATTTAACGAACCAGTAAATTTACGACTTCATCCTTCCACTTTTGACTGCCGGACTGACTTTATGAATGATGAACTGTGACCAGTTAGGATCACAGTAATGCACTAGCCAAAATGAACTGGGAAGCTCCCACCTTGGATATGTTTATTGGTTTTAAATAAGGATGTTTGCCTGTCAGTGTACTGCATATTTCTGATGTCTGTTTTTCTTGCCCTCTTGCTGCCCCTTCTACCCCTCACAACGAATTCGTTTTCACTTTGTTGGTCCGTCCGATTGGCAGATTGAAGAAGGCAGTGTCTCACAGCGTTCCGGGCTGATCTCGACTGGGGACCGTATTGTCAAAATAAATGACCAGGAAATTGAGTCCCGCGAGCATGTGATTGAGTTGTTCGCTGAGTGCTGTCAAAATGCCAAAATTTCGCTCATGCGACCAAGACGTAGTGGATCCTACAGACCGATGCCTCCTGCTGGCTACCCCTTTCTAGGGGGAAGTTTGCCGCTCACAAAGGAGGCTGAATTGCGATCCGATTTCCGCGGTCGTGGTAGTGATCCCAAGATGCCCACCAACGCCTATGCTCATCTCCCGGTAAGTTGTGGCCTGCTTATTTTCTTTCCAAAATAATTCTAATTGTTCGTTTTCGTGTATGATACCTCCGGCCCATTTCACACAAATCTTTGGACGGCAACCATGTTCAATAACACACAAGATGTTTGCGTTTATTTTTGGGTGACCTTTCCTGAAACGCATTGTTTGAGTCAAAGGCCAATCCCTAACAGTAGTACATATTCAAAGAGGGTTTTATGCTAGAGGAAAGAAGGAAGGAACGTCCTAACAATTTGTCTCCTGCTTTTCTTTGCACACTTGTCACGAACAGCTTTCGAATTTGACAGTTCTAATAAATTACTATGCTCCAATTTCTGGAGACTATAACGACACTCTGCTCTGTGTGCCAAAAGGGGGAAGGGGGATACTCAAGATTTACAGTATTCCAACATCCGATCGACAACCAAAAGTCTA